GTGTGTGTGTGTGTGTGTGTGTGTGTGTGTGTATGTGTACATGAGCGTCTGTGTGTCCACGAGAGTCCCTATTTAATGTGTAGAAAGACGCAAAATGAGAGAGATGAGATCAAATATCTTGCCCTGCAGTTGACACCACTTACAATACATCACTAAGGAGTCAAAAATGCTTCAAAACTAACTCCGAAGACCAACAACCCAACAGAAAAAAGGTTCACCACTCTAGCCGAAAAAAAAATAACACTCGAACAAATGAACGCTTCCAACAGGAGATAAAAACTCACGTCCTTGGTGTTCAAAACGCAGAATCTCACCTAAACTTCCTCCACAGACGTCTATCGTCCCAGTGAGCTTGTGTAGTTTAGTAAGTGTTTTACGGTGCTCGCAACTACATAAGTTCCAGTGTGAAATGTGACGGGCCCTTACAATAAGACTATCCAGACACGGAAGCGCAGGTCTTTGATGAATTCTCGCTTCACAATTATGTTCAACAACGGGAACACAAACTTCCCAGTCACGTGATAGCACAAGAATGTGAAAATGTGAACTCATACATGATAATAATTTGACTGTATTTCACCTTAGTGTTGAGTAACAAAGTGGAACACTTTTCCGTACAAAATTGAACAGCGTGAAGTGGAATTGCGCAGCTCACTGGCGGGTTAACTGGTAAACAGCACGACCACTCGCGTTGACCATAGGCAATATTTATGCAGGTATCAAGTCAGACTAAAATAGGAAAATGATCCCACGTCTGGAAAAAAACCCTGCTATTTATTGCCAAAACCCCCAAATTCACTAGACATTCATAAATACCGCAAGTCAAGCCAATCGCACTGTAAAGTACCTCGGTTTTATTTTACAGAACACTCCCCGCTTTACCTCAACAGAATAAAAACAAAGTTTCGAGAAAATCCGAAGCAAAATCTAAGAGTGAACCAGAAGTCCAGGGTTCACTTTTCTTTCTTGTTTCTGTGAACACTGTTGAGCGGAAAATCTAATCAGAAAGGCTTGTTAGCAGTTTGCGGATAAGATTTGCCGCGCGTGCGTGCTCTGCATATCGTGTGAGCGTTAAGGTCGATGTATCAGTGCATGCATTCAAAAGAGCGTTGTGCATTGGTCATTGTAAGTCTTCTTACAATTATGATACCCTACCTACCCACCCACCCCCCCCCCAAAAAAAAATAAAAAATTTTAAATTAAAAAATATAAAATATTTTTTAAATGAACAAAAGCACGCAAAAACAAAGAACTCCAGAAGTGATAAATTAGTAAACGCGAAAGACTCACTCCTCCAAATACAAAACACACACTACGCACACATAGGCTGGTAATCACCCTCCCTCCCTCTACAACCCCCTTTCTCTCTCTCTCTCTCTCTCTCTCTCTCTCTCTCTCTCTCTCTCTCTCTCTCTCTCTCATACACAAAACAAACAAACATGCAAACACGCACACAAGCAGTCTGACTCATACTATCGCTGCTTTATCCAATACACCCATCATTTCCTCTCACATCGCTTCTTCAATGAATACCAATCTCCAGCAATCATCACCGTAGTTTCCACACCAGTGGCCCAACAGCCACAGAACACCACAACATTTCATAACGATCATAAATAAATGAATAGCCCAAGCCAGAGTCTAATGCCATGTCCTTCAAGCCACCCATTCTAACAGCTTGGTTACCACAAGGACGGTCCTCTTCGGCAGCCTCGGTGCTTTCGCTTCTACTCGTGTCTCTTCATTCACGGATGAAGCTCCCCAGAGCTAGAAAACAGATCAATAAAAAGTGCTACACATGCATTTATAAAAGAGAAGCACAATGAATGAAAAAAATGCACCGGTAAAAACTTTCATGGCCTCCCAATGTAGAAAAACTACGTAGCTTTTTTTTCTTTCAATGACACTTCCAAGCTTTTCGTTGAAGGCTCATGGATTTGTCACGGATAGAATCTAATACTAAAATGTCCGCAGGATTTTTCGAAAAGTACAAGGACATGGCTGCACATACCTCCCATAGCACAGGGGGGAAGAGACAGCAGCCGACATGAGTGTACCCTTTATCTTGTTAGAAACCACTGCAAAATCGGAGGAGCCGGGGTAGTAACGGTTATGCCTTAAAACCGTAATGTTCTAGCCTGGTAATAAGGAGGTTTCAGGTTTGATCTCAGGAAAACCCACACGGAAGGATTCGTGAATGTTTTCTCGGTAATTCTCGATCAGTCGTGGGGTGATTGAGTTCGGGTGAAAAGAAGCACATCGACACAATAAATGTCATTTAGTGCTGGAAAAAGTAAGACACACACAGACAGAAACAACAGAGGGATAATAAAGAAGTACTACCAGTGGCGCCTTCCACCCCAATACACCTGGACGTCCTTTGAAAGAGGGTCTATTTAGAGAGGAGAAGTTGGTCACGAAAAAGGTCAGGTACTCAGTAGTGTGACGCAGAGAACAAGCAAAGGATTTGGGGATGGGAAACTGATACATCTAGGGTTGAGGGGGGGAGAATATCATCGAAGACGGATACCCCTCCCCACCCCCACCCCCAAACAAAACAACAACAACAAACAAACAAACCAAGCAAACAGACAACCCAACCAACCAGACATAAAAAGAAACAAACAAACACCATTACACCCTACTTCTCGTACATACTGTCATCGTATGTTGAAGTAAACACGCAAAGATCAAGATAAGAAGAATGGTGGGTGGTTGGTGGGTTCTCTGTTGTGGTTTGCTCCTTCTCTCCTATCAAACACACATCGTCTTTTTTTCCTCCTCCTTCTTTTCCTTATATGTTACGCTATAGTATCCTTTTCATTATGGAAACTTCATTTAACAAATGAATGTTTCATATGATGTGATGTGGGCCAATGGCCTTGAACCCTAAGTAAACTTACTTCCGTACTTACTTATCCTCTAGTACCACTTTTATGCTTTGGCGCGTGTTTGACCCATTCGTATTGCAAGTGCCGTAAAACTTTTACTAAAACTAAAAACTAAAGGAGAGACGACCCAAGCTCAGAAACATCTGCCAACGTTCAAGTACACCGAATCTTCCTGTTCTCCCCAGTGCAGATCAATATGTACAGCTCTACCAATATAGATGTAACCAAGCGGAATTGATTTCCCGTTATGCTCGGACACACACGTACGCAAGAACACATTTTATCTGCTTTCCTCACCAACATTATTACATTTTCAGTTCACAGTTTTGCTTTCAACTTTTCCACAACTACAATTCGATACTTACTTTCAGAGCTTAAATTCTTTTTTTTTTAAATCTTCCTAGCTCGCAAGCATCAACAAACACACGCACACGCACACGCACACACACACACACACACACACACACACACACACACACACACACACACACACACACACACACACGCCAGCACACATGAACGCACGCACGCACACACACACACACGCCAGCAGACAATAGCCCAGGTGCTCAATTAAAAGAGCAGCAGATTGAATCACAACCGCATTCTCAGCACCTGCTGTAGAGTCAATTACCCTTGCTCTTGGGAATACAAAAGAGTACGAAACAGGCCGGTTTTTTCACAACGGTGAAGGCATTTTCGACTTCAAACCAGACCGGGCCACATGCAGTAAAATCATAAACTATAACTAGCACTTACTTTTATGAACAAAGAGGCAATAAAAGAAAGTGGCAAACAAACAAACATTAGTTCTCCAAAATTATGGTATTTAACAAAACTATTGACACTCTAAGGTTCACCCCACGCAGGAATTAGAAATATCAACTGAATGGAAAAATAAAAATAAAAAGACATCTGAGAGCACCCACATCAAGCTCGTTCCCGCTCGGAGGAAAAGACCGAAACTATGTCATACCCTACCAATGTAAAGACACAACTTTATGTACAGTCACTCTCTTTGCCTCCGTCCCACCCCCACCCCCTGTCTGTCTGTCTTTCTCTCTCTATGCCACTGAGCCCCCCGTCTGTCTGTCTGTATGTCTCTCTCTCTCTCTCTCTCTCACACACACACACACACACACACACACACACATACACACACACACACACACACACACACACACACACACACACACACACACACACGGACACATAAATACACATAAATCACAACAAGGAAAAGCTACAACGGCCATACCTGCTGGCTCGTTTATCCAGCTTCCCGCCATCTTTGTCCTTTTTCCGTATCCGGATTTTGCGCGTCTTGTAGAGGAAGCTATCCCAGATGCGGCGCCTCTGTTTCAGTTTGACGGCCGGCGGCTCCCCGCTCGAGTCGTCCCCGGCCACAGGACTGGTCGAGTGGGTAGAGGGCGAGCCCGAGCTCTCAGGCTGATGGGAGGGCGTCTCGGCGCCACTGTCTGCGGACCCCGTGCTGCTCACCGTCTGCTCCCGCCGGAGCGCGCGGCGTCTCATCCCTGGAGAGAAAGAAAAAGACACGCATTTTCTTATTGATGTTTACAGTACTCATAGTTTAAATTTTCAGTAAGGTTTTATGGCATTTGCAACACTCTAAATCACAGAAGTAGGGGTGTTTTAAGAGAAAAACAATCACAAAAGAAGGGGAGATAACGATATAGATGTTTGGATGGAAAGGAGCAAACCACAGCACATCACCTGCCAACCATCCACGTTAAAGTAAACCCCATTTTACATAATTAAGACCATCCAGGAAGCGGACTGTTCCTGAAAGTAATTCATTTGGCCTTGTGGTTGGAATTTTTTTTTAAGAGAAAAAGAAACAAAGATCGCATTTACGTAATATCATAGATACTAGATACACGTCTGACCATACATGATCATGTTTGTCACACAGCGGCAGGAAACTAATACTGAGGTCACCCACAACTCTTGACTTATGAATAAGTGGAGTTCATGACCTAATTTTTTTCAGGGGTTCTCAGAACACGTTGTCGCGTGTAAAAGAGCCTTGCGATGACGACTCGACGTAGAATTGGTTTGCTCAGGTCGGCTGCCATGCGAAAAATTATCGCAATGTGCATAGTAACACAGCTATTGCAGTGTGGGATAAAAGCTTTACAATTCTCCACTACTGTAAAGGGGTTAAAGAGTGGGTAGGAGAAGAGATAATGTGTAGGGATAGGGTAGAAGCAGAAGATCAGAGGGCCAAGGCTGGACACATGGTAATCGGACAAGACAAACACATGTGTCAGAATTTGACTTAATTTGAAACTGTGTCGTCAAACAAATCACGGGTCACTTTGGGGTGAAGGTTTTGGTCCCTCGCCAGAACATTGAGGTGACAGTAGAAATTCCACCCTGAGAACAGACATATAAAATTTGGACGCCACTTGGAAGCTCAGACCTAATTTTTTTTTCGTGCTTACCAAGCACACCACTAAGAGTGCCACACGGGCTAGCAGGCGGCGGGTTTTCTTTTCTTCGACCTTGCTTGTGAGGGCCAACCTGGGCTAAGTGGGATACAACGGAGACACTCAATACAATTTCTACCCCCCTCCCATACCCCATAAAAATCGCAGGTAAGACTTCTGCATCTGACAGCAAAGTGCCCAAGCGCTACTCTACAGAACAGACGCAGGTAGGCAACGTTTGTTAGGCACAGATTTAGCAAACTTTTCATAACACAGGGTACGGATGAACTTGTGAGATGTGACAGCTGTGCAGCGCAATCTGCGATCTTTGATGTGCCCAACCAATATTTGACATGATAACATCAAGGGACAAGCCAAAAATCGATTGGACCGGGTGGGGTGTCTTTTTACCCGTCACCTGAAAGAATTCCAAGTCCCAAAGCATCAACATCACCAGGGCAACCCAGAAGAACAGATTCCTCACAGGCCCGGTGCCGGATGTCCATTGATTGGTCCTCGTGTCACCGATAACAACAGGCCGACTATCTGGGCCTGGGTCCCGCCCAGCAGAGACCACCCGGAGGGACAGTCGGTTAACGGCGTGAAGCCACGGGCGAGAACGTGCTCGGCCTGTGATTAATGCCCGGGGCACGTCAGTTGGGGACCGGGCGACACAGCCTGCGTCCTTGTTCCAACATTTCGGCGCATTTCAGGGGCTTTTGGGAAATATAAATTTTCACTACGCAGTGGTATTTTGCATTTTGGGACCATATCAAAGGCTTGTTCTCGGAGTAAAATACCTCGTTGGGTACGCACATACAGGCGGCTGTACAGCTGAGGAACGCGAACTTTTTCTGCAACCAGGTACGCCTAGATTGAGGTTTGAATACAAATAGGGACCAAAACGAATCGAATTAATTTTTTAAAAAACCAAAAAAAACTTCTTACAATATTTTAACTCGGATGTTGCGGGGAAAGCAAGAGATTCGTCATCGATAAGATCTACAATGTTTGTTATAGAGTGTTAAAGAAGAATAAGATGACACGAGAACCAAAACATGTGCCATACGCGCAATGGCAACGATAGGGCTTAGCCACAACACACTGTGGCTTTTTCTTGAAGTGGAAACGAACTCTGGTTATAATAAATAAGACTGTCTGGTATCAGAGAGGCTGATTCATATCCTTAGAGGGAGGAACAAATGTGGAAAAGGGATTTTAAAAGAGAAAGGGGGTGGTGGACGGGAGGACAACCTTGAGAATAACTGATTTTTTTGTGTACCTTTTTTGTAAACGTGGGTGTTTTTACGCCCCCATCGACATCATTTAGATCATTTAGGGGACAGGCTACCGACCTGCCTGTCAGGGCCAACCCTGGCTGGGACGGATATAACATCCCAGCACAAAGATTGAAATACTTGATACTAATTTTCTCCCCACTCGGGAAACGAACTAGGGCTCCTGCATGCGACAGCGATGCACCTAACCGCTACACCATTAATGTCGGTTGCGTCTATTTGACACTACCTTAATCTACTTGTATAACATCGTCCAACGAGTGCACGAAGGTTGGAGTCTCGAGGTCACCTCATTTTGCAGCGTTCGTCGCTTCCCAATTCTCCCTGACTGGAGCCGCACAAGCGATGACACGTGACTCTGCGGCAGCTGCCCGGAATATCAATTCCCACGTCAATATCTTGCGTCATGGGATAAGATCTCGGGGAAAATCCAGGACACGTGACTAATTACTGTGACCTGAGATTCAACTTCCAGGCAAAGGTAAGCACATTAAGAAAAATGGGCAATGGACAGGGCCATTGACGACCCGGTTCGCTTAAGAAAGTACCATTGAGTCTAGGTAGAAGATACCATTTCTGAAGTTAACAAGATGACTTAATGACACACGATGGACACTCGAATGAGAAGTAGATCTACTTACCGCAAAGAAGTTCTACAATAAAACACATCATGAGCCACAAATAGCTTTTATTAACACACGGATGTCATTTAAAATGCGGACCCTCTGAGTTAACGCCCATCTAAGATAACTCACGACGAGGTTTGAGAATCAGAAAAAAGCCTCAAAATAATGATCTCCCACACCGTAGTTCTACATAGTACAGAGATATTAGCGAGCCCGGACAAAATATGTGGACAAGATAATGGAGATAAAACTGTCACACGGCGTTCCCGTTTCTAGAACTAAGGGGTCGTCTAATATTTGGACCGCAGAGAACGATATCACGCGCCGAGCACACTACTTGGGCAAAAACGTCGAATCCATTCATGATAAGAACCTGTATGATTGTGTCAGTAAATAAAACTTAATTCATGTTTGATTAAAGGCTGTCATATTATTGGAGAAGACTGTAAATTAAGATTAACTTAGACTGTTTAGTCGTCTTGAATCCTGTCTATCAGGGCTAGCTTGAGCTGCAAAGGTAAATTATATCCACCCTTGCCCCCTCCCTCAACCCACAGGCTGGATATAGCTTTTGACAATAAAACCCAACATTAATTCAAGAACAATGACTGAAATATAAAGTAGTTCCTAATAATCTGCTCGCTTGACAAAGAATCAGCTTCCAAACTGACTAAAAAAACTGTTCACTGGCAAACACTAGTAAGCCGGTATAAGAACATAATCTCAATACTATTTATCTTCCCCTCTCCTTTCCCCCTTTGAAATGATTGTAACGATTTACCGTGTCCAATGTCCCGTTTGACAAAATATAAACAATCTACAAAGCAGGTTTCTTCCACCATGCTAATCAGATTTAGCTCGGAGTAAGCGGGACACAGCTTCAATGCAGAGAGACGACAGACATCCTTTTTTTTTTGGCAAGCTTTTTACGGCGCTCGCAACTGCATAAGGTCATATATGAACGCATGGAACACATTAAACATTTTCAGTTGGTAAAAAATTGTGAATTTTGCCCGGGCGGCAGCCGAAGCATACTCTTATCGATTTTGGACCACCTAGGGATCTTTAACGTGCACAACTTGCACATGGGACCTCCGAGATTTTTCGCCCTTGTCCGAGAAGGCTAGGTGAAGATCTTTCCTCCCATAAGATCAGGGGTGAGGCTTAAAGACAGAAGTATGAAGGACCCAAGAAGAAGCAGAAATAGTCGGGAGCCCAGAGGAGGGGAGAAAAGGGGGTAAGGGAGTGGGGCGAGAGAGTGGAGACGAAAGCAAATGACAGAGCATTGTTAGAGAGCAGGAATAAAGAATGTGAAAGGAGAAAATTTTAGAGAAGAAAGCTTAACCGTCGCTATCCGGATTCAAACCCGGGACCTACTGAATGAGAGGCGAACACCTTAACCTCTAGGCCACGAGAGCCCCCATAATCACACATGATGACTGACTCCAGTTACAAATAAAGCAGTACAAAGCAACTAAACTATTATATCGGCGACTGTAGAATCGAAAATGGTGGCAATTGCTGACTTGCCCTCCGTTATAAAGTGCTTCCAGACAATCATGGGCTACTTTCTCTCGATAAACACGGCTTTCCTTCTCACCACACAAAGGCATTGGCGTTTGTCGTTCCTGTGACTGAGTATGCATAAATATCCTCGAATTATCAAGCTCATTGTCGCCAATCAGAAGTGGGTGATTTGCTCTAGTTTGTTAGTGTACAAGGAAACATACCAAGAGACAAAGAATCGTTTAGTGGAGGATAAGAAAGCAAGACAGACAGACAGACAGACAGACAGACAGACAGACAGACAGACAGACAGACAGACAGACAGACAGACAGACAGACAGACAGTGGGAAATGAGTGCGACATGCCAGTGGCATCCCCCTCCCAATCATAGGTAATCTGCTCTTGTTTTAGTTAGTATAGGTAGGTGTGTGGGTTTAACGGCCCTAGCCAACACTATTATTAGGTTATTAATTAAGAAGCGGGACCTCCAAATGTAATGTCCCTCCTCGATAGGACCGAGCCAAATGAGTTGAGAGCATTGAAATCTTCACGAAACGACCCGAGTTCAAGAACGACCAGTCTGGGATTCGAACCAGGGCCATGCGGTCGGCAGTACACACAAAATGAGCGCCCGCTCTAGATTTGCAAATTTGTTTTTGTAAGTGTTTCAAGGCACTTGCAACACAATAAGGTCAATTTAGTGCCAAAGATTACAGGTGTTACAAGATAGTAACAAGTACAAAAAAGAAGGAGGGGAGAAAATGACGATAGATGTTTGAAAGGAAAGAAGAAGCAAACCACACTAGAGCACCCGCCAACCACCCACGGTTTGCCAATGCTTAGGCATGCTTAGTGTGACAGTACATGAACATCGTGCTTCACTATACAAGGAATAAACAGAGAAACATCAGCTGGAGGCAGTAAGCGTATTTTAAAGTGGCGTTATTTGCTGTACGGAATCCATGGCCAAGAAAGATCCACTCAGGCATACACCGGTATAGTATTACAATTCTGTTCAACATTACAATGGGGGACTGTGCTTTAAAAAAAAGATGTTTTTACGTCCCCCATCAACACAATTTAAATGATTTAGGAGTCGGGCTCCGATCTGTCGGGGTCAACCCGGGCTGAAAGGGACTAAACGTCCACACGGGAATCGGACTCAGGTTTTCTACGTGCGACAACAAAGGGCCAAACCGCTACACCACACAATACCAGTGTGATCTATTGCGGAAATACACTTATTTTATATCTGATTAAGTATGGAAAGTAAGAACCATGACAATATAATAACAACTTTTAATTGCATTTTCGTAACGTGATACAATTTAATAAACATAGTTTTATCGATTGGTCAGTTGATTGAATGTTATGCAAGGAGTGAGGTATTTGAAGGACAGACGGGGGGTGGGGGAGGTTTAAGGGGAGATGATGTATCTAGTAGTATTGAACAGAAAGGAACATGCAGACAAGTAGTAAAAAAAACAAAACGAAACGAAACAAAACAAATAACAACTAATTGAAAGTGTTCAAAAAATATGCTCAGTGGCATGATCCATTCCAAACACGCAGAAAACTTAGTTGTTCATCTTACTAAGTAACGCGTCCTTATGTCTTTACTATATTCTGACTTTATACATTGCAGTTCTGGAAGCACTACAGACTTACCATCTCGATGGTAATTTTCAAAAGAAAGGACCAAACTGAAGAGAGATTAATATGATAGTGACAAGGTTAAGTGTTTTAAGTCAAACTGGTGGGTTTTTTTTCTGTATTCCATTGATGCCACAGCAAACAGAGTGCACACACTACTCAACGCTACTAGATCTATCTTCGAATTAACATGTTGGTTTTTTTGAAGCGATCAATTCAAGAATTTTACAGAAGAAAGCTAGCTGTCTGCAACCGGTTTTCGTCCTTTTGTGTAGTTGTGGGTTTTTTGTGTTGTTTTTCTTGTCTTTTTCTTTTCTTTGGAGTCAAGTACCTGTCTGCTGGACAACAGACAAGCCTTTTTTTCTATTCAGCCCTTTTATTTAAAAAATGTTATTTGACGTTTAATCAATCCCGTGCAATGGGCATTGTGTGTTTTAGCGTTTCGACAGTTCTCTTTGTTGTTTGAACGGCAAGCCAGAACCGCGAGTAAGAGAGAGGCGACAAGTAAGTGTTTCTCAGGAGCTCTTTCCGGGTCTCTGGGGAAGGGTGTTAAACACTTGGAACGAAAAGAGTGGACAGACTCTTTAACTCTTCTTTATATATATAT